CCACCAGCAACGATGGGCTGGCCTCGCAAAGAGCTGCGCTGCATGGCACTGGCCTTGACTTCTGCCATGCAAAACACGTGAGGGCCAGCAACCGATTGTGCTCTGTCTCGTCTAAGGTTGGCTACGGCGAGTGCCGCATTGCTGTAGCCGTTGACGTTGACGTAGTGGAGCCGGAGCGTACTTGATGGACCCGGGTTGGGCTCGATCCCTTCAGCGACGAGTCTGTCCTTGGCCGCGTCAAGCAGGGCCTTGATGCGCTTCGGCGCTGCGGTGTGGCTGCCACCCTGTCGGCCACCAAGCGTCAGGAAGTGTTTGGGGTCCTCGTTCGCGTGGAAGCCTGCGATGTGATGTCGCCTCTTGCCCTTCAGCTGCTCCAGCGAGACGCCCTGGATGAGAAGATGACATACTGTACAAGGCCAGCCGAACTTCCCCTTCTTCTTGACGACCGTGCTCTGCCTCCTCGGAGCATGTCGGCGAAGGACGTGCTTCGAGCCTTTTGCCGCCAGAGGTTTGTCATCCTTGCCTTGCATCTCCAAGTCGCAGTGGCTACACCTCCAAGTCCAGATCTCAGTGAGCGGATCGAAGGTCATGGGGTAGTCGGTGCAGTAGGGGTGTCGAGTGGTCGTACTGACACTCGGCTTGTCGTCCTTGGATGAGCTCGCAGCAGCATCAGCAGCGGTGGCCTTGCAGTCATCGCCTCGCTTCCTCTTGGCTTGGGTGGTGGCCTTGGTAGCTTCCAAAGTCATCTTACGCAGGGGCTTTTTGGGCCTCGGAGTGTCGCGGTAGAAGCTGGGGCTCTTCTTCCCGTTGAGGAAAGCTTTCTCGACGCTTGACAGGGCCAGGGCCGAGCTGATAGCCTGGCGGCCGTTCTTGACCTTCCATGCCCTAGAGAAGCCTCTGGTCCTAAGCTGCTGCTTCCTGTCACTTTGCCCTCGGCATGGCTCCAGGTGCCCATTGTTCGCAGCAAAGCGAAGCGTCGGAAGGTGAGTGAAGGTCAGGCAGCACTTCCTGCAACCCCAGAGGCTTCTCACTCTCTCCTCTTTCTTACCGAGCGTGCGGGGTGCACTGACGAACTCATGACCTGTGCCCTGTTGATGCTGAAGCACTTCTTTCAGGAGGCAATGGGCATGACGAACGGCCGCGTATAGCATGGGTCTCGGTCGGAGGCTTAGCCGGATTGAGCCACGGATATGAAGCTTCATGCAGTGCCTCCCAACCTCCGAATGTCGGCGATGACTTCAGGGATTGACATCTTGCGTTGCTTAGCACCCTCAGCACGTAGTGCCCGTAAAACGCAGACAACAGGAACCGCGGGCAGCTCATGCAGAGTGAAAGTCTTAGCACCGTGAGTCTGGCGAGCGTCTGGCCGTATGCGCGCCTGCTTGCCACTGAGCCTCCGCCTAGTTGTCCGCATGCTGCCGGCCTCATGCTTGGGGAGCCAAGAAATCTGCGTTTGAACATCCCCCAGACTTGCCAGACTAGCAGCCTCAGTCTGAGCATCGCTGTCCTCGGTGTTGGCCCTTTGCGTCTCTGGACGGTGCTCCGGCCTTTCGCAGTCTCCGGCAGGGACGTCTGACGGAGCCGCGCTGGGCTGGGAGAGCGCCGTGGCACCCCCAGAGATCGCAACAGGTTCATATCTGGGACTCTGCACCGGAGGCTCCGGCTGCATCCACGAGATGCTCGTGCGAACTGACCTGTTGTCCTGGGGCTCGCTAGGCGCAAGCCACGACCTGCTGGTGCGGACGCTTCCATCATCGTCGTTACAGGCCGTAGTGCCTCCGCCACGAGGCACGCTAACTTCCATCTCCAAGTTTTCTCTGCCGTACTTCTGCCACTCAGCGGGGTAGTCTCTGCCAGCCCTCGGGCGAACTAGCGTAAAGTGACCAGCCTCATAGCAAATGAAAATGGTCCCCATGGCCTTGGGGTTGCCGATGGCCGTGAAATGCGTGGCCTTTCCCGGGTCGCCGTGGCAAGCTACGATGATGGTCTGGAGCTTCTCCGCAGCCACACGCCAAGCAATTTCATCTGCCCAGCGGTTCGGTCGCCATAGGGTTCGGATGTAGCCCTCGAAATCCGTGGCCGGCTCTCCGTCCTCCTGTTTGATGCGCTCTTCGTGTTGTGACTTCTTTTCCGCATCAGTGCCGGTGAGCTCCTTCGGGGGTTCCCACCACTGTCTGTAATCATCAGGATGCTTTTCAACCGTCTCCGCAATCGTTTTCCGCAAGCCCTTTCCGCGTCCGGGGATCGCTTTCTTGAAGGTGGCCATGTCCTCGCCTTCGCTGATCGCATAGCCAGCGGCGATGACATTGTAAAAACAATGGCCGGCATCGCCGCACTCGACGAGCTCGAACCAGTCCCCTGTCGTCGGCCCATTGGCAGGGGGCGACTGCGCAGTCAGTTTGCGCCTTTTCTGATCGGTCTCCTCGGCGTCTCCTCCGAGCATGTCAGCATCGGCGGCGTTGTCCAACGGGCGTCTCGTGGTCTCCTTGGGCTTTCCCGCCTCCGACGACTTGCTCTTCGACTTGGCAGGGACAGCGAAAGACTGCGCAGCAGCTTGCCTTCGTGACGCCGTACGCTCCAACAGCAGGACCACGTTGCCGGCGCGGACGGACAGAGTGTTGAGGCGCTCGCCACTCTTCTCCACCTGGTCCATCTTGACCAACCATGGCCGCTTCCATTCTCCACGCGAGGTGACGGAGATGTCCGTGAAGTTGGCGCCTTCGAGAGCAGCGATCACGTCCTCCTCCAGCCAGTAACCAGGGACACCCTTCACTCGCCACGTGAATGTGTCTTTGATCTCTTCTCCACGTGGGAGTCGCCATCCAAGAGCGCGGCCGCCTCCTCGTCGGTACGCAAGCGGGGCTCCGTTCGCCAACTTGCGCACCTCCTTCAAGTAGACCGTGCCAGGTCGATCCTCACGGTCCACCCATTTGACTGCCGGAGCATGCTCCGTGCGATTCTTTGCCAGCCCGTCCAAGAAAATGCCGGCCTTGCCACTGAGCTTGAGTGCCGCTGTCACGTCTTTCGTCTCCAGCTTCAGATAGCCCACGAGACATTCCTCGTCCTTGTCGGTGAATCTGCGCCAATTTTCCGAGCTATGAAGCTTGATGCCCAAGTAGCGGACGGTGTAGTCATGCGGCCCGGCCTTTGCAACCTCGTACGATGGCGAGTCGATGAAATCCTGCGGGATGGTTGCCCGGATGGTATGCAACTCGCGCTGCGGCGCCGTGAAAGTGCTCGTCCTGCAGAAAGCCGTCGGTAGTTCCGGTAAGTCGCCTTCGACGAGCTTGTGAACACTCCAGCGTTGCATCTTTCTCCTTCGTCCGTCGCCGGAAGGTTCACGACCTGCTTCACGTCGTACGCCTCGCCATCGGGAATCGCAACAAGGATCACAGCTTGCTTCGCCTTGGCCTTGTAATCGAAGAGGGTGGCCGCGTTTTGGAGTTTTTCCACATCCAAAACGTTCCGCGCGACGATGTATTTGACCTGGGACACGTCAAGCTGCTTTTCCAGCATGTGCTTGAATTTGCCGAAGGTGACAACGCCGAAGATGCCGGGGTCCAGTCTCCAGCCCTGCACGTCGGCATCCGGCTGGCGATTGACTGGCTTGCCCTGGTCGCGATGGGGCGCGGGCGTGACCCTTGGCGAATCTTTGCCCTTGCCCTTTCCTTTGCCTTTGGCACTGGGCTTCTCTGGCTGGGTGTGGTGCCCTCCGTCTTTTGCAACATCCGCCCACGTACGTGGTGCCTTTGGGGCGTGATGCGGAGCTGTTTCTCTGCGCAGCTTCGCCTTCCACGCCCTTTTCTCCGCTCGTGTAGGTTGGATGTGATTGCCACGCCGCAGCTGCTCGATGACTGTGCTGACTCGGTCGATGATACCACTGGGATCACGTCGGGCTCTCGTCAGCACCCTCTCCAGAGCATGGAAAAGGTCGGCGTCCATGCTGTCATTTTGTCGCTTGGGCTTGGTTGGTTTATCACCAACCTGGCCCTTTGACTTTCCTTTGCCCTTGCCTTGGCCTTTGTCAGTGCTCATCTCTCCCTTGAACTTTGACATCACTGCACTAAGCGCCTCAATGAAAGACGTTTCCGTCTTTCTTCCTCCGCCGCGGAACCAATGCTGTTGCCACTGGCAGTAGTCTGTCCTAGAAATCCCGTCTTCGCCGTGGTGAGCATCATCGCGGGGAAGCGTTGGCTACTGTAGGCGTCGGTTGGGAAAAGTATTGCACACCGCATCTTGAAAGCAGGATGCATCGCTCACCGGTGGATCATCGTCAAACTGTGCGCAATCATGAAAGAGCCTGCCCTGCTTGGCCTGCTTGATGCGTCTGCGTCGCATCCTCTTGGCTAGGCGTCGTTCTCGATGACAAGTGCTGGACAGTATGAGCCCCCGGACCCCTTGCCGCAGCAGCAATCTCCACTGAGCAACGGACGATCGGCGACGTAAGCGCCTGCATCTCCACCGCCCCCAGATCACACGTCGCCTGCCTATACGAATGGCTGCCCAAGCACTGCGCACGGCAGACAGAATGCCATGACCATACTTGGTCTTTGACCTGAGTTTTGCCTGGCAGGCTGGATGAGGTGCCAGCCTCCAAGCTTCTCCCACTACCGATGGTTCGTTCTGCCATCGGCATGCGCTCCTGGTGATAAGCAATGCAAAGAGCAAAGCCGTAACCAGGCCTACTCCCCATCTCACGGACAGCTTTGCAAAGTTGTCGGAGAAGTAAAACACGATCATCTCAATCAAAGCAAAAAGCATCCGGCCGCCTGCGACGACCCCATGGGACCAGATGCAAAAGTCCCCGCGGGGGCAAATCCCCCCAATTACGACCTTGAGTACTTTGTGCAAACGCTTCGGCCACGTGAAGGCGTACTCGTCGAAGCCCCAATTCCCGCCCCAAGAATTCTTAACCTTCCAGCTGGTCCACTCACACACAGA